AATATATATGCGCGCGCGTGTGTATGTGTGTGTAAAATCTCACCTTTCCTGCGATGTTCCACTTCGACCGCCACAGCACTCGGTTGGGATTTTTTTGTCGTTTGTTATTCATTTTCATCGCGTGTACCGATGTCACCGGGGCCGCCAATTCGCCGATCGGCACAGATGGAAATAAAACGTTCTAAAAATAGCGCAAACCGAGAAGCATAATTTGAGAACCACAAAAGAACCGAAAGCGTTCTATGAATAGCACAAAAAGATTAAGAAAAATCGTAGCATTCGAGCGACAAATTACAGCGTAACGGTTTATATTCCGCGCCTGTTTATGCAGCTATGCATGACTTGGATTATCCGTATAGATCCTCATATATAACAAGACTCGCTCAGTAAATCGACCCTCGCTATAGATGTACACACTATCCTGTGACCACTGTGAATGAATTGTGCCGACTATCTAAGTACAACCCTTCTGTGCCGCGGCATACAACCGGCTACATCCTGCACATGTATACTATTACCAACAGTATGGTACGCAATACATCTTGAGTGCATGCATCCCCATGTCCACAGCATATCACTTCCTCTATAAATCTTGGGTAAAAGAACATCAATGTACAGAGCTACAACGTAACCTGGGTGAAGAAATCATGTATATCAATACACACAAAACAAAATATCACTTACTCTGTGATACTTGGGACAATGGAATATATATATTAATGTGCATTATATATAACATACTTTGTAATACTTGTAATAATCGAATATGTATCAATGTACATTATATACAACTTACTCTGCAATACTTGGAATAGTCAAAAATATATCAATGTATATTATATACAACATACTCTGTAATAAAATCGAATATATATCAATGCACATTATATACAACTTACTCCGTAATACTTGGAATAATCGAATATATATCATGTACATTTTATACAACTTATTTGTAAGATAATCGAATATATATCAATGTACACTATATACAACTTACTCTGTAATATTTGGAATAATCGAATACATATCATGTACATTTAATACAACTTATTTGTAATATAATCGAATATATATCAATGTACACTATATACAACCTACTCTTTAATACTACGAATGATCGAATATATCATGTACACTATATACAACTTAGACTGTAATATAATCGAATACATATCATGTACATTATATACAACTTACTCTGTAATATTTGGAATAATCGAACGTGTGACCCTCACGTGTGTGGTCGTTGAAGGCGACTAATTTCAGTTCAATCTGTTTATCAACCATCTCCCCTGCCTTCTGGGCCGCCCTACGCATCTCAGCTTGATTGCCTAGGCCATACATACGAATGTCACGCAATGTGTATATGCGATTATAAGCACATGATTCACAATACTGATAAAAATACGAGTGTATACATGTATGAATACTTGAATAGTGAAACATCAGGAGATATTCAGTCTGTTAATCAATCATCTCTCTGCCATCTAGACCGCCCGACACATCTCAGCTTGACAACGTAGGCAATACATATAAGCGACTAGCCAAAAGTATGTACATATATATACAAATACTATACATATACGTATATATA